AGATGGAGTTATTATGCACAGATATCAAACTATACTATAAAGCTATAGTAATCAAAACAGTATGGTACTGGCACAAAAAAACAAACATATAAATCAATGGAAAAGAATAGAGAGCCCAGAAATAAATCCATGCTTATATGATCATTTAAACTACAATAAAGAAAGCAAGAATATACACTAGGGAAAGGACAGTCTCTTCAAAAAATGGTGTTGGGAAAACTGAACAGGTATATGCAAAAAATAAATAAATAAATACAACTATACACTTTCTTACACCATGTATAAAAATAAACTCAAAATGGATTAAAGACTTAAATGTAAGACCTGAAACCATAAACTTCTATAATAGAAGAAAACATAGGCTGTAAACTCTTTGACATTGGTCTTAGCAATATTTTTTGGATGTCTCCTCAGGCAAAGGCAACAAAAGCAAAAATAAACAAATGGAACCACATCAAACTAAAAAGGTTTTGCATAATGAAGAAAACCATCAACAAAATAAAAATGCAACCTATTGAGTAGGAGATGATACAGTCATGCCACTTAATTACAGAGATATATTCTGAAAACTGTGTTGTTAGGTGATTTCATCATTGTGTGAGCCTCACAGATGCACTTACACAAACCTAGATGATACAGCCTATTACACACGTAGGCTATATGGTATATCACTGTTGTATATGCGGTCTGTCATAGACTGAAATGTTGTTAAGCAGCGTATGACTGTACTTGCAAATATATATCCAATAAGAGATTAATATCCAAAATATATAAAGAACTCATACAATTCAGGGGCCGGCCAAGTTGCTCAGTTGGTTAAGAGCTAGGGCTGAGCAACAATCGTTCGAGTCCCGGCCCGAGCTGGGCTGCCGCTGAGCTACCAACAGATGGCAGGATGGCTCAGCTAAAAAGTAAATACATAAATAAAAAGAACTCATACAATTCAAAAAATACAATTAAAAAATGGACAGAGGACCTGAATAGACATTTCTCCAAAGAAGACATGCAGATGGCCAACAAACACATGAAAAGATGTTCAACATCACTAATCAAGAGACAAATTCAAATTAAAACCACAATGAGATATTAGCAAATATCTGTCTAAATGGCTATTATCAAGAAGATAAGAAACAACAAGTGTTGGCAACGATGTGGAAAAAAAGGAACCTTCAGGCACTGCTGGTAACATTGTAAATTTGTGCACCCACTATTGAACACAGTATGGAGATTCCTCAAAAAATTAAAAATAGAACTGCCATCTGACTCAGGAATTTCATTTCTAGGTATTTACCTGAAAAAAACAAAAACACTGATTGGAAAAGATATATGCACCCCTGTGTTCACTGCAAAATTATTTACAATAGCCAAGATATGGAAGCAACCTGGGTGTCTGTCGAGAAATGAATGGATAAGGAAGATGTGGTACATATACACAGTGGAATATTACTCAGCCATAAAAAAAGAATGAAATCTTGCCATTTGCGACACCATGGATGGACTTAGGTGGTATTATGCTAGGTGAAATAAGATTGATAAAGAAAGACATATACCTTATGATTTCACTTACACTTGGAATCTGAAAAATAAAACAAAGAACAAACAAAACAAAACAGAAACAGATTCATAGACACAGAGAACAAACTGATGGTTGCCAGAGGGGAAAGGACAGGGGGATGGATAAAAAAGGTGAATGGGATTAAGAGATACAAAGTTTCAGTTAAAAATAAGTCATGGGGATATAATGTACAGCATAACGAATATAGTTAATAATATTGCAATAACTTTGTACAAAGACAGATGGTTACTAGACTTATAGTGGCGTTCACTTTGTAAGGTATATAAATGTCAAACCCCTATGTCGTACACCTGAAACTAATACAATATTGTATGCCAACTATACTTTAGTTTTCTTAATGGCTAAAAAAAAATACTTTTGTTACAGTAGACCGCATGTTAAGTGTTCTTACCATGGGAAAAAAATATGAATCAACCAATATTTTTTAAAATAATGGTGTATCTTATAAAAGATGGTGACTTCAACTCAATTAAATATAATTATTGAGCCATTATTCAGAACCAAGAAGTATGCTAAGTGCCTGTCATATGTCAATTTATTCAATCCTCATAAATATTAAGGTAGATATTATTCTTGTTTTACAAATAAACCGTTGCCAGGGTCACAACCAAATGAGTTGAAAGAGTCTGAACAAGGACCCTGGTATCTACTCTGCTCCCTCCCTAGCTAGGCAAATTTCTGTGATGCAGAACATTCGTCAGGGTTTGCAAGGTCAGCTCCTACCACCCTGTCTTCTTCCCACTCCCTACTCATTACTCCCCACACAGTGATGAGAACAAGATGCTGGAGTTTATCCCTCAGGCTAATGACCAGATCCTGTCTGGCCTTAGGAGAGCCCTACCCTTACCATAACTAACTATCTTCCCTCTGCCTTTCAATTATCACCTTCCAAGGACTATAAACCTAAAATGTAGTGCAGGTCTCTGCAACAGCCTAAAACACAAGTCTTTTTTATTTTAGTCAAACAATTGTAAAATGCTGTGCTCCACCTTTCTTCTGATTTGGTCACCCAACTCTACCATGTGTTTCCATTGCCAACCTCATAGCATCAGCCCTAGGAGAAACAAGTGTGAAGTAATCACACGAAGTCCCACAAATGGAAGGAATTGGAGACTTGCTCTAATATCTTCAGGTTCTGTGGGCTAATAATGGTTAGTCCTTAAATTTGGGAAGAATGTAACATGGTGAGTTAGTTGGGCATCTAAGTTAAAAAACTATGATGGATATGAACTGGAAGCCTACAGGTATCTTTAGTCATATGAAGCTATCTTCAATTGATGCAAGGTGGGCAAAGGAGGCAATACCCAAGGGGAAGGGAAAAAGACCTTAATTTTACAATTTTAGCTTTACCCACCTATTGCATTCTATTTAATAGAATCAAATCCATTAAGTATTTTCTTATTCCAACTTCCACATCACCAATTTAAGAAAGGAGGGTGGTGGACATCCCAAGGTAACTGATTGTCTTTTCCAAAGTGACACAGTCAGGCAAGCTTTCAGTAGAATCCAGGTCTCCTAACATATGAGAGTAACATTTAAAGGACAACAAATGAACTCACTGAACAACATATTGACCAACAATAAAACTGACACAATACATGATACCAACTGATACATCTTTAGGAAAATAAAACAATGAATTACCTATTTTAGGCTTTGGTTTATTCAAATACCACAATTTTCCACAGACATAGGGCCATACCTAATTTGGGCACAAGCTAATTCCTAAACATTATATGTAAAGATTTCCATATCCACCAATATTAAATTAAAAATTAACCTTATGCTCATCCCTTTAAAACTAAAAGACTGGAAAGCATTTGAGATCTTGCTTCCCAGTAATGGTCATCAGTTTGGTTCAAATAAATTCATACAAATTAAAAAAAAAAACACTGAAAAACAACTTTTTGCCAATTATATTACTATGGTTTAGATCCAACATGAATTCGTTTGGACTTCACCTGATAAGCTAGCGGCTCAAGTCATTTTCCCACTGATATGAGGAATGGATCTAGTTCAGGAGGCTTTTACAATAGGTATGGAGAATACAGACCTAAAATGACAGAGTCAGGTCAGCAGAAATAGAAAGAAGCAAAAATTATAAAAATGGTACCAAGATTTCAAGTCTGAGCAAATAGGATAGTGATGGCAGTAAAAGAAATAGGGAATTCAGGAGAAAGATGGCCAAGGGTTGGAATAAGAAAGAAGGTGTTTTATTGAGTCGGCTGAATTTGAGTCTACACGACACCCATAGGGATGTGTCCAACAGGAAGTAGGAAAGCATTCACATGGGCATCAAGGGACAAAGTCTAGATATAGACATGGAAGCTAATATCCTAAGAGATAACTGCTGAAATCATGGGAACAGCAGCAATAACACCAAATCACCAAGAGAAAGCATATAGTGAGATAAAGAAAAGTCAGCAGAGGCCCACATCTGTGATGGTTAGCAACGGGAAGAGTCTGTGAAGAAGACCAAGATGGAGCAGGTCAGAGGAGCACAAAAAACCAAGAGAGTTCCAGGATCTGTGCTGCAGACAGAAAAAAACAGCCACCTGCATCACAGATCACAAAAAGAGTCAAGAGTTATCAGGATAAAAAGGATATCAGGATATCAGGATATCAGCATTGGGTCGTTGGTTAGTATGGTGGGACAGAATCCAGTGTTGCAAGAAACAGAAGAAAGAAAAGAAGGAAAGGCAGCCATATCCATCTTCCCTACTAATAAAGCCTGGGGATATGCAGAGAAAGGCTTAGGACTGTAACTTGATAGATAACACAGTAAACCAATATATTTTGCAAACCATGCATATCACCACATTAAAAGGAAAGGCTTCAAGTACATCTGGCACAAGCATATGAAAACTTTGATCATAACAACAACTATTCTGCCCATTAAAATTCACCCCCCCAACACACAGACACATGCGCGCACGGGCATACACTCATTTGTAAATAATAATGATGTTCCTAACACAGGTACAAAAAGAAGATGTACATTTCTTAAAAGTGTAGTCAGAGGACTGGATGTCATACAGTATACATTTCAAAAAACACCTTATAAGTTTTATGTCAAAATTTTACTCAAGAGATTATCTCTTAGTTTTTTAAATGCCTTGCTACTTTTATATCTCTTGTGATATAAATTTGGCACTGTCATGAGTCATTAGAGAAAAAAAGTCTGTAAAAAATATTATTAGTTAACTCCAGGGTTGTGTTAAAAATGTTAGGAAAGCATTTACACTGTGATACTTACATTGTGAAATAATCCTTAAAAGCTCCAAATATCAAAAATCTTTTATGTACCAATAATCCTTTCTGTGAAATATCTTAGAACATGCTTTATGTTTACATACACTTTCTTCATCATTAAACGACCTACGAGGTTGAAGTTATGAAAAATGGTCATGAAAGCAGCAAATACCTGAGGTACTCACAGCTGTGGAGTAGGGATTGTGAGCTCCAGTATTTTCAGCCCAGCAGCCACATCCATAAAGAGCAGCCTGGAAAAAACCAAAATGGATAAATATGACATTTCAGAAACATTATATGTAATTACTAGCTTTCAACAGAAGACAAAATCATATCCATCTAATAAATTGAATAATGATGTGTATCAATTAGGCAAGAATACCAGAGGTTATATAAAACCTGCCCAAACAACGGTTCTAACACTATCAAAACTTTATATTCAGCTATTGTACTAATCTAACATTTTTCAGAAAATAGCAAAAGAAAGTTTCGTAGTCTCATCAACAGTAATTTTTCCTTCCCTGGAAAATCTTCCCCTTATTGTATTATAATTTGTCAGCTAGTTGCTCTTCTGGCCTCTTGAAATCATTGTGGTTGCCTTAAAATAGTGGTTCTCAAACTAGGTATGTGTCAAATTACCTGGGAAACATGTGACAGGAACCTGTGTTCCCAGATATTCTGATTCGGTGGTCTGGGGGCTGGCACAGAAACAGGCTACATTAACCAAGGCCCCAGGAGACTGGGATGCAGGTGGTCCTCCTGCCACGCTCTATGAAATCCCTGTAGAAGGGCCTTTTCCATGCCTCCCTTGGGTCACACAATAGGAACGGCACTTAAAAACCACTATGCTGGGCCGGCCGAGTGGCGCGATGGTTAAGAACTGGCTTGGGACGCCAGAGGGCCCCGGTTCGGATCCCACATATGAGGGCCAGTGACACTGCCCTCTACAGCTAAGATGCTGAACAACAGCTCAACCTGGAGCTGAGCTGCCAAGAGTCGCCAGCGACGGCGTAGGCTGCAGTCCCTGTGGCAGTGGGTTGCCATGGGCTACCGTGTGTAGCCAGCAGCCAGCGTGAGCGGCCAGCAGCCACTGTGAACGGCCGTCCAGAAGCCGGTGACTGATCTGCCTCGCCCGGGAAGAGCGCAATGATGGTGCCAACTTGGGCCAGTGAAGCAACGTCCTCCACAACTAGACTGAAGAACAAAAGGACAGCAACGTATCTGTTCCCCTTCCCCCAATTCCCCAGCACTGTTCCCAACCCCCCAATTCCCCAATAAAAATCTTTAAAAACAAAAACAAAAACAAAAACCACTATGCTCACCACTATGCTAGATTCTGCCAGATGCAAAGAAAGGAGGCCAAAAGGTTTGTTCAAGCTTATCACTTTGTGAGGTGGTGGAGCTGATTTATATGTCTAAAACCACCAGGAACACAACAAGCTACTGTGGTTTTATAAAAGTATAACTATTGCACTGTGTTGTACAGCTGAAACTAATTCTAAAAAAATGTGTATTTCACAATAAAAAATAATATTTAAAAATAATAATAAATAAATAAATAATAAATTTTAAAAAAGAACATCTCAATCGTTCCTGTTTTGTTTCCAATTAATGCTATCCAGAATGTATTGATTCATCCCTTCAATATTCAAAATGATTTCTCTGACTTTGGGAAGGGAATCACAACTGAGAATTTTCCACTCCTTTGTTAGAAACAGAGTTAGAAAAACCCTTAGACAGAGAAAACCAAGGAGGTATGCTTAATAATGCTCATTACCACATGTTTGGTGAGAATGAAAAACTGAAAACACAAATGTCAATCAGTAAGGAAATGGCTAAATGTTGGCACAGCAATATGTGGAATTCACTGCACAGTTTCAAAAAGAGAATTCAATTAGTTCAGAGAGAGAGGAGAGAGAGAGAGGGGGGGGGGAGGGAGAGAGGGAGAGAGAGAGCGCACAATACATTTGGCATTCAGTATGATTGATGGAGGAAAAAGATATTCCCACAAAATAGTACTGTTATGTTCTAGAAGCTCACTTTTGAGGACTGGAGGAAGAAGCAAAGACTGGAAATAGTGACCAGACAGACCTCAGCTTTCTATAATATTCTATTCTTTTTTACAAGGACTTCAGAACTCATTTGTTCCAATATTCTACCCAGAGCAGGAATCACCATGAAGTATTCCAGGTACTTCTGATACAGAGAAGCTCGCTGCCTCATATGGGAACATATCCCCATTCTGGACAATTCCCTTTGGGGAAAAGTTCTTCCTTATATTGCGTAAAGAATGCCTGCTTTACTATAACTTTTATCTATTAGTAACCGTTCTACTCTCTGGAAATACTTGAACCTCCCTCTAAATTCCTCTGAATTTTTTAAAACAGCTATCCTAGCGCCCCAGTGCTCTATTCTCACTCAAAGGATCCTAAGGTTTGTGATCTGTTCCTCAAGACTTTGAAATGCACACACACAAAGACACACATACACACACACTCCCCTAATCATCCTCCTTGAGAAATAATACAAAATCTAGGAAAACTGGAGATGAAGTCTCCCATGTTCATGTGACCCACAGTTGCCATGCCCAGTTGTCACAAGAGCCCACTTAAAAGTAAAACCAAGAACCAAACACAACACTCCCAATATGGCAGACAGTAGAAAACACATTATTGCCTTTGAAAACACCATGGGTCAGAGTGGCAACTAAAAGCCCTACAGAAGGGATTCGGCACACAAATTTCATACTAAAACTGGCAGCCTTGCAGAATCAGCCATTCAACTGGTACTGCTTGGGACAGATGTTGGGTCAGTCAAAGCCTCAGAGAACACATGACCTCAGTAGAATGGCCCATTCTTCCTTCATTGAAAACCCTGGACATTAGCCCACTGTCCTTTCCATTCTCCACAAATATCTTGACCAGAAGCCGGCACCCAAAAAATAGTAAATGAGGCCATAAGGATACCTCTCAGAAACCCAGTGGAGGTCATCTCTTTCTAAAAAACAAAGAACATTTATTCTTACTCTTGTTTCTTCTAAGCAAATTCCTTTTATGCACGTCTCCTCAATTTCATGACCTAAAGTTGTCTTACTTAACTTCTTAACCTTTTGAAATTGGTTGAGCTTAATAGTAATAGGTAAGAATCAGAGACTGTCTTTGTCTTATCCATTTCCTTGGATAAAATATAGCAACTTTAAGCAGGTCTTAAAAAACAGCAACAAAAAAGCTTCATTTTTAGTAGCAAAATTTTACTAAAGCTATTATCATGCAGTAAAAGTAGGTCATATAAATGATATTTATTGTTATTATTTAATCTTCTCTGGGTCTTAGTTTCCTCTTTTATAAAATGAGGATAATAAAAACACCCATCTCATAGTTTTGTAGGATCATGTAAATTAACACACCTGCTGCACATAGCAAGCAATTAATAAACAGTAGCTACAGTTGTTATTATGAGGGACTATGAGAAGCAATTTAAATGCATTATGTCATTTAATATTCTAGAACTTTCGGAGGGAGCTATTTACCCCCATTGTACAGGTGTGGAAAAGAGTGCTTCAGGGTGTTGAATAACTTAATGGAGAGGAGGGATTAGAATAAAGGTTTACTTGAATCCGAAATCCATACTCTTAACCACTAAACTCAACTGCCTACTGTGTGTGGGTAGGGTGGGGGGTGGAGGGGGCTGGAATATAATAATTCTGTTCTCATGTCTCAGTTGTAAATTGTAATTATTATGGTAAGCAAATAAGTTCTAATTCAAATTGCCATGTCACCATCTGAACTGTTATGTATCTAGAGCAGGGTAATATGCTAAAATTTTTAAATAGTTCCTTTATGTGTTTAAATATATTTAAAAGTATCTAGTTTTAGCACATTTAAAAACATTTTGCTTTTTAAAAATAAGTTACTTGTGTATTTTGTTACATTCTGTCCTGATCGTCAAGAAAAGTTTTTGTTTTTTTTTTAAAGATTTGTATTGGGTAATTGGGGGGATGGGAACAGTACTGGGGAATTAGGGGAAGGGGAACAGACAAGTTGCTGTCGTTTTGTTCTTCAATCTAGTTGTGGAGGACACTGCTTCACTGGCCCAAGTTGGCACCATCATTGCGCTCTTCCCTGGCGAGGCAGATCAGTCGCCGGCTTCTGGACAGCCGCTCACTGCGGCTGCTGGCCGCTCACGCTGGCTGCTGGCCGCTCACGCTGGCTGCTGGCTACACACGGTAGCCCATGGCAACCCACTGCCACAGGGACTGCAGCCTACGCCGTCGCCAGCGACTCATGGCAGCCCAGCTCCAGGTTGAGCTGTTGTTCAGCATCTTAGCTGTAGAGGGCAGTGTCACTGGCCCTCATATGTGGGATCCGAACCGGGGCCCTCTGGCATCCCAAGCGAGTTCTTAACCATCGCGCCACTCGGCCGGCCCAAGAAAAGTTTTTTTGACCTCTCATCTGATGCTTACATATTTCCAGGATTAATATATCTCCTTATCAAGCAATATAATCCAATTAATCAACTGTATTTTCCTGTAAGTACTTTGTCTCCTCTCCTTTACACCCTTTCCTGATTTTTCAGTTCTCACAAACTGTGTATCCATAAACTAGCCAAGTGGAGCAAATAAACATGTAAGTTTTACAGAAGTATTTCTTTTTCCAGGACAGTCCGCTGTGCAGTGGCAGAACAGCTTCAAGATTGCTCGGTGTAATATCCTGCTAACATAGTCCAGAACTATCCTTGGTTCTGTTGTTGCTATTTCGCTAACCAAAACAAACAAAAAACAGTGAGAAAAGCATGGGAACTGCAATCCAATGAAGGTGGCTCTGCTGGCTTTTCCCTCTCCTTCTCCACCAAGACATCCAAATCTGATACTTTGGTTTTCTTATTTCAAACTTGACAAATACGTAGGACCTTATAATGTGGAAAACTACCATGACCAGACAATGGCTTTTTATAATGAGTTCAAAGCATTGTATATATGTTAAGCAATCCTTCCTCATAAATCCCCTTGTACAGTAGACAAAGAGTTGCACAAAATTAATTCTTCTTCCCTTCCCTTTCCCCCCACAGGACTGCAAGTGGCTTGTCCACAATAAAAGGCAGATTAGGGAATGACACTGGGGGCTTTGCAAAGATGTCCTCCATGAATCAGATCACTCTGCTTCAAGCATTCACTAACTACCGTGTCCAAAGCAACTGTGACGCCGACTCTTCTCAAACATGAGAGACAAAGCGCAACGCGCAGTCAAGCAGTGCTCCACATGTAACACGAGATCCAAACACTGAGCTTAAACACACCCCTTGCAACTACTTTAACAGACTCCATGAGGGTATCCAATTCATTTGTTCACTCAGCAAATATTTACGAAGCCCATAAGTAATGTGCCAACTTGGTTTATACTCAGAAAGCTTACTAGATCAAACGGATTGTTGAATTTCATTCTCAGATTAGGCCTAAAGGTTGAAGGCGGGAGGCGGGGAAGAAGACGCATGAGAGAACTGGGAATAAGTCAGTTGTTCATAAATTAGACCCTCCTTATATCTAGATTTTTTTGAGTGGTATCATGTGTTGGTGACATGAAATACTGGTTAGTCTATAAAATAGCTGCAGTGCTTACTCAGAGGAGGAATTTATTTAGAGGGTCAAAATGTTCCTTGAATGGAAGAGATACAAAATGTACTTTTTTTCCCATCTAAAAATCACTTTCCCATCTAAAAAGCAAGCAGCAATATAGTCAGGTAGTGCTTGCTCCTAAAGAAAATGACATTCACAAAGAAAGAAAATGGAAATCAACACACATTTATTAAATGTCTACTGAATGCCCAGGCCAGGACCCAGTCTGTTGAAAATAGTAAAACATACGATTACCAATTTTAAAGATCAGAAAGAAACCTATTATTATGAGATAGGTTTTTGTTTTTTTTTTTAGAAAGAATCTTGAAAAGGTATTTGATTGATGATTTATACTACATCAATGTTAAAGAACAATGACATCATTTATTTGTTCTAAAGAAGAAAATGTCTATGGTTTAAAAACAGTGAGCTAGAAAACTCCGTGTTTTAACTTGAAAAGCCAGTTTAAAACCCCCGTCATCACTTACCTGTCCAACTCTCCCTGGATGTTTCAATGCCAAGCCTCCACTGGAGACAGCAGCAGCAACATTACCTTCATGGTCCACAACCACAGCGCCCACCGTGTCCAAAGTGCCTGAGTCGTTCTCCTATAGAGCAAAAGTGCCATGAGCACTCACTAAGCACTGTGTGTGGCAATTTGATATGACGACATAGCACTTTCCAGTACAACCATGACAAAGTCTGAGCTAATCCTGAAGTGGAACATTCAGCAATCTCCTAAAATTATCTATTATCAAGTTGCCATTTAAATCCTGTTCAAGTCAAAATGTATTTTCCACTGAAAAACTCTGAATAAAAGCTTTTCTCTAATAATAAGCCTAACATGCCTTTCTAAGGGAAGGGGGAAAACAATATATTGGGTTATTGGGAAAGTCATGACGTATTTTACTATGTTTTTCAACGCAAAAATGTGTCATGACTTTCCCGACAACCCAATAATATAAATTACAGTATATCACAGTGCCTTCTTATTCTCAAGAATTAAATTCATGACTGAGATTTTGTAGAGAAAAAGATTTGTGGCATACAAGTGAGCCAGTAAATGCCATTATTAGTATTTTTTAAATATTATATACAAATTCCTAAAACTAAGTAATATAGTTGGCACAATAAATGAAGAAAATTGTATTTACAATCTCAAAGCATACTATGCTATAATTTTCTTTTACAATTCCTTCCTTGTGAGAAAATTTATGGCAAGCCCCCTTCTCTGCTATATCAATAATTCACTTCCCAACTGCATGGCAGAAAACTGTATATTCCTGATAGGCATCTTTGTGCTTCTGTGTCTTATCCCAGGTCCCACATATTTCACATGT